TTTTTTTTTCAGATTTCATCAACCAGCTGTCAAGATGGTGGCCCAGGGATGATGATTTGGGCTTGTTTTGCACCTGGGCACCTTATAGTCACTGAAATGACCATGAACTTCTGTGTGTACCAGTGTATTCTAGAGTCAAATGTGAGGGCAAGAAAGAACTCAAGGTGACATAATGTCCCAGTTAAATTCCAGACCTCAACCAGATCGAAATGCTGCAGGACATTAAATGGACTGTGCCTAAAAACACCTATGCACCTTATTGAACTAAAGCAATACTGTAAAGAGTAGAGGGCCAAAATTCCCCTACAACAATGTGAGAACTTGATAAAGTTATACAGGACAATGATTGTTTCAAGATATTTCCTCTAAAGGTGGTTCTACAAGCTATTGAGTCATGACATGTACCTAGTTTTTCCAAACACTGTTTCTAATAATGACACTGTAAAATAGTTCATGTATTGTTGTTCATCTATTCATTTGATGTGTTTAAACAATTTGAGAACCTGCCACGGACCTGATTCTTCTTCTTTTTTAAAAAAAAAAAAAATGTTCTAATGTTTAAAACCTTACAGCTGCTTCAGTTTTTTTTAACAGGTGCATTTTATATGGCAAAAATTTGTCTCTAGGTTTTTCAATCACATAAACTCCCATGTTGTGTGGTTTACACTGAAAAGAGTCATGGTACTGAACCAAACAATACACTTACAGGTTCATAAATGAAAACATCAATCAAAAAGAGCCAGAAGTGAATTTAGTCAATGTTTAATTTTTGGCCTGTTTGTCACTAAAAGCAAAATCTGTCATAGACTAAAATTATTTAATTTGTTATTAATAATGTGATTATTTTGGGGAACAGCACAGATGGTGTATTTGCGGATGTTTTTATTATTCATCCAGTTTTTCAGCAAGTGAAGACATTTATAAAACTCCATGTTTGGAGTTTTATACATTCTGGTAGCAGAATGTATTGCTGGTCACATGTAACTTGAGAAGAGCTTCTAAGACAACCTGGTGGATGTCTCTGTCTCGTCTACAGTACACTATACAAATAATCTACTCGGGACATCTATTTCCCATGCTTAAAGTTTTTTAAATGGCTCACTTATTTCCAATAGACATTAAACTGCAGTTCTTTAATGCTCCACTAGATAGAGACATTGTTAGCTCACGACACTTCCTTCATAAACTCCCCCAACACTGTGATTTGAAGGGTGAGAAATAAAGATAACATATTGCAAATCATTTGTGACTGAAAGCAAGCTACAGGTAAAAATTTTGTAATCTACAGGGTTGTGTGTGTGTGTGTCTTTTTTTTAAATAGTCTCATAGGGGAATGATGGCACACTTAACCATGTGAGGTCCATGTGCAGTAAAGACAGTAAGTCTGTTTTCTATATTTAACATAAATTGCATAATTTCCAGTCATTTTTGACAATTTCATAAACAAAACAGTGTATTATTGTGTTTAAGTAAAACCTTAATCATCAAATTTATTTCACAGTGCTAGTGATTTTTGGTTAGCCTGCTATGGGGCTCCAAAAGTTCAAACCCAGTGTTTTAAATTAGTCAAATCTTGAAACAATTCTTGGAACTCTAAACAGCATGGTTTACAGTTAATTTTACTGCTTGCTACAAGGTTTGGGAGCTTCATTGAGGTTCTCCATCAGATAACTGTGCACATAGAATTTTTGAAATGATTACATCCAATAGAAAGTTGAGCTTTAAAGCTGTTAGCTCAGAGGTGGTTGTTCCAGTTTTGAACAGCTGTAACAAGATTGATACTAGTCTGTTTATGTTGTGCACATTACATGTGTGAGAATCACACACACACACACACACACACACA